AAAGGGGAATTAAGCTATTAATTCAAAATTATTCCAGAAATATCAAACTACTCTACTACACAGAAGAAACCAATTAAAACAATCATGCAAAAATGTCACACCGAATGTTGAAAGCGTTTTTTTCTCTTGCAAATACAGGTACTAAGCTATTATTTCAAAATTTTGCAGAATGTAAGCTTCTCTATAGTACCATATACACTAATTGCAAACGATAAAGGCGACTTGCCAACACCAATTGCAGGAGAAATCAATTCAATAACAAAAATCAACCATACATAAGAATAAATAATTTATGAAAACTACAAAAGAAGTTGCATTGCTTAAAACACTTTTTCATCAAATTCCCATCTTGGAGATTAATCACGTACCCAATTAAACATCAAACGTAAAAACATAAACGTAAGAAATACGTTAATTAAAGAATTTTTATTTTATAAATACCTTGCTAAGCATGACTACCACAAAGCCATCTTCGGAGACTTTACTATCAGCTAAAGTGGTTTCATCCTTCAAAACCTTCCCATTATGAATCAAAAGCTGTTGCCCACATGGATAATTGTCTTTCCCTTGTATATCTTCTATGCTTTTCTTCACTGCCATAACCTATTTTTTTACATATAAAAGAAGAAGAAAATTGAACCTTTTAGCTAACTCTTTAAACCCAAATAGTAACATAATTGAACAGGAACAGGAAAGGGGAAACGAGAAGGTGAGAGAGGACATTACAGTATCGTTGGGCTGAACCCTAATCTCAAAGTGACTGCCTTTTAGGGTTTTGACTGTTAGCTTCATTTCGGCGAATTGAGAGAACAAAAAAAGGCAGGTAGGTTGTTTCAGATTGGGGATTTGAAACACAGAGAAAGGATAGGGAACCCTAGAAAGGGGACTTTATATGGATGCAAAGAAAATCACAATATCTAGGGAAATAAGTTTTCTTATTATTATATATTAGGGTATACTATACCCATATCATTATATTTTAAGTGGTATACGTTTATACTATTAAATTTTTAATTACTCTAATTATAACATTACATTTTAATTTTAGTTTTAATTATACTACTAAATCCTTAAAATTCACACGACGTGAGAACATAAACAAAGTTGCATCGATTTAGTGCGATAATTGATGGTTAAACGATATTGTTTTAGATACTAAACTTGAAAATTGTATCGATTTTATCATTAAATTTTTAAATAATTCACTTTAAAAATAGTACTTTTTTCTCGCCGTTGACAGTGAATAATCACCCATTTGATCATAATTTATGATAAAAACAATATCAAAACATTCGTGTTTCACTTATCTTTCTTTTCTTAGGATTGATCACATAACTCACTCAAATCGATAAAATTAAGCAAAAGAAAATTGTTAATTTGGGGGGTTTTTTTTTGAGAGTTTTCTCGGATTTGATATTTTTAGGTTGTTTGTCTAAAAATCTGAATAGTGAGAAACATTATTTTGACAAGACAAACAATATATCTCAAAACTAGTTCTATCGTATGATCATCGCAGGATATCATAGTATTAGCATATCGAATTTTTAGATGAATTTTTTGTCGATTTTAAGTGGTTTTCGTGGAAAATCAATTCAATGAGGAAAAAATAAGTGAAATTTGAACATTTTTTATATTGATCTTGTTGCAAATGCCGATCAGTGACAGACAACGATTGGTTATCAGAGGCGATCAGAAAAGTTTAATACCTAAAATTGAATATTTTTCAAGTTCAATGGCAAAAGCGATAAATCCCAAAAGCTTAATGCCTAAAACAACGTTGTTTTAGACATTAATAGTCTCGTAAAAAATGATGTTATTTTTTTCACATCATCACATTGACTAAAAAATCTATCTACATAATCGTGTCATTAAAATTTAATAGCCTAGCGATAAAATTAAAACCAAAATCAAATTTTAATATTATAATTGGAGCAATTGAAAATTCAATGATATAAATGATATAATACATAAAGTTCGATGATATCCGATGTTATTTATCCTTAATATTATTATTATGGTTACAGTTCGGAAATTCAAATTCACAAATCAGTAACGAGTTCAAGAGGAAAGACCATTGTGTCAAAGCAAGAGCTGCGCCATTTTCTTCTCATAGAAGTTATCGGACTTCGATATGCCTATTACAAGCTAGAATGGTTATCGCTTCGCGGAGATGGAACCCTACGAGAGAGAGAGAGAGAGAGAGAGAGAGAGAGAGAGAGAGAGAGAGATCTTCTTTCGGAGAAGTCAACTTATTTACGATGTTCAATCATCTCCTAATATCATTTCGCTCCAACCTTTCTTCACCGCCAGCTTAATACATTCCATGAAAGTGTAGGCTTCAATAAAACTTGCATCCTGCATAATTTTTACCAGACGTGCATGGCAAGTCACCACTTGGCCTGTATGATCACGAGCTACAACCCCAACTGCTCCATGTCATGTATTCGTCACGAAAGCTTCCTCACTTAACCTGCAAAGCATATTCAAGCCATGACTTACATGAGGTTTGTTGACCCTCTCGGACTCGTCTATCAACCGCTGCTAGTGATAGGATAGAGTTTGAATCTGGCATAGTATGGAGGATGGTTTCCTCAGGCGTGGTGCAAAGAGGACAACTTCCATTCCCGAGACCAGCAGTGCGAAGCCTTGAACCCACCGGAAAAGCTTCATGTCCTATTCTCCAATCGAAAATCCTTAGTTTAGGCAAGGTGGGCATCTTAGCCAGGGCAACCCAAAGCTGTGAGAGATCAGCCACCCCCTCTTGATGTCGTTGTAACCAGTGATATCCAGACCTGGGGGAGAAAATACCCGAAACACGGTGGCTCCAAATCAGCTTGTCTCCCTGCACCGAGGCAATGGGGCAACGTAGAACAAGCTTGCATGGACTACAGAGAAAACACTGGTGACCCTCCTAGGCTCCTAGCATCCCATGTTGGTGCGTCTGGAAGCATAAATTCTCCACAAAGAATCGGTGAATTTGGATTATCCCAACGTGAATCATTAAGCTTGATGTGTTTGGATATACATTATGGGTTAATTTTTACACCATCTATTTATTTTAATCTCAAATCCTAATTAAAATATAAAATCCAAACATTTAGGTCCTAAAAGCTGACTCTAAACTATATATTTAAAACTTTAAACACTAAATCATAAATAAATAAAATATATATTATTAAAATAAACATATTTGACAAATCTTTGGTCGAGAATGAGGTAGGATAAACTAGATTGTTTGAGTTTTCAATCAACTTTCACTACAACAAAACTGTTCTTTAACGGCGTTTTCATTTATTTGTTTTTAAAAGTATTTATATTTTGTTCGTATTCATTTAAGTTTTATAATATATAATGTTATAAGAGACATTATATGTTTACATAATTTAAAATTTAAAGATTTTACTCGCTTATTGAACCATTGTAAGAATGTAAAAGGATGAATGGGATTAATAAAATGAGATGACGAGTTTTTTTACGGAAAAACAAAGTTGATTATGCTTAATTGGAAAGTTTTATTCTCATCCATTAAAGTAATATAGTCGAACGATAAAAAAAAGTGTAAAACTTTTAAATTTTGATGTACATCTGTATAAGTGAATCTTAACCCATGTTATATTATAAACATTAAAAAAAATATTATACTCGAGTAATCAAACGATCTAAACAAGCGTGTAAAACTTTTTAAATTTTATACTATGTAAGTAAATTCCCACTCATATTATACTACAATGATTAAAATATATTAATTGTTTCATATCTAGAAGTGTAAAACGATCAACAAAATTAATGAAATGATAAATTATTTGAACTCGAGACCTTAAGGAATAACAATAATTCTTTTATCACCGAGATCGCTTGATCCATGCTATCATAACACCTTTAAAATAATTAATGAAGTAGTGATAAATAAGAAATATCAAAGTTAAGTGATCAGATTGTACCAAGAAAAAAAAGTAAAGTGATCAGATTGTATATTTTAAAATTTAATATCCAAAACAGGAATATAATTGAAGTTGAACGATAAAACTTGTAGTTTACCCATAATTTATTTGTGAAAAAGAATAGTGATGACCAATAAAAAAAGGGTAAAGTATAGTAATGGTCACTGAACATTTCTGAAACTTGCATTTAGGTCCCCCAACATTTAAAACTTGCAAGACAGTCCCCCAACATTTATTCCGTTTGCAATATGGTCCCCCAACTTAAACCACAGTTAGAAAATTAGGATAAATTATATAAACGGTCATTAAACTTTTCAGTCACTTGAATTTCGGTCCCCCAACTTTTAAAACTTGCAAAACAATCATCAATTTCATTCTAAACCCCAATTTCCAAAGTAATTCAATTTTATTCTAAACCCTAAGTTCTAAAATACTTCAATTAAATTCTAAAATACTTCAATTTAAGGTAATATAGGCTTGAAGAAAGAGTTCAAGGCACAGACACAACGAATAAAAATATATTTATATAAATGTATATTTATATTTAGATGTATAAATAAAAAATATATTCATATATTAATGTATGAATCATTTATATTTTTGAATATTTTATTTTTAATAAGAAATTAAAATTATTAATTATATTAGAAATACTCAACTTAAGATATATATAATCATGAATTATAAATATGAAAAATATAATTATTAAATTTAGTTTAAAAATATATAAATCTTAAATTTATTTTTTAAAATATTGTATCAACTAATATTTAAAAAATATATTAAATCTATCAAACAATTTATCAAATATAATATTTTTTTATTGTAAAAAATATAATATTTTCCCATCATTTATTCCTTTCAAATTTTTTGCCGAAGTTCAAATCTCATTATTTCCATTTTACATTATATTCTTTTTTTTCTGGCATTGGTCATACTATTAGTATATGTATTATTGTATATCTCTTAACACAAACGATGGTGTTAGCTTAGTGGCTCCACCCTATATCTTTCATTTGCGTGACTCAGGTTTGAGTTTGCCCAAGACCCAAATTTTACTTCTTTGTAACTTAATTTTCTTCTAATTAGGATGTGACATGTGTCACCAATAACACATATCATGATCATGTGTTAACACATGTCAGATCCTGATTAAATGATTAATTTATTAAATTTTATTTAATTTAGGACCAAATTGATAGCATATATAAATAATTAGGTGGTAACACGTGTCACTAATGACACGTGTCATGATCATGTGCTAACACATGTCAGATCCTAATTAAATGATTAATTTATTAAATTTTATTTAATTTAGGACCAAATTGATTATATAAATAATAAAGACTGAATGTATAATAATGTCAATTCCTTTTAACTGCCACATCATCATTTTTATCAATTGGTAACGACTAGTGGCTTAGTTGAAACAGTTAAATAATTATGTGGTATGATTGATAAATTTAAAAGATCGATGACAAAAGTAAAAAGGGCTAGATAGTTAAGTTGTCAACCGAGTAGTTTACACTTTTATTTATACGTCAAAATAACATTTTATAAATTTAAAATTCGAATTATTTTCAACCTCTTTTATATCCTAACTACTTTTTTTAATTAAAAAAATTTCTTCAACAGATAAGAATTATACTATTATATTTATATAAAAAATACGTATCACATGAAATAAGATGAAATTAAATAATAATAACTTTGACATAATTGAATTTAATTTAAGTATTTTGGAATTTAGGGTTTAGAATAAAATTGAATTACTTTGGAAATTAGGGTTTAGAATGAAATTGATGATTGTTTTGCAAGTTTTAAAAGTTGGGGGACCTAAATTCAAGTAACTGAAAAGTTCAATGACCATTTATATAATTTATCCTAATTTTCTAACTGTGGTTTAAGTTGGGGGACCATATTGCAAACAGAATAAATGTTGGGGGACTGTATTGCAAGTTTTAAATGTTGGGGGACCTAAATGCAAGCTTCTGAAATGTTCAGTGACCATTACTATACTTTACCCTAAAAAAACCATTGGTTTTAATGGAAAACAGAGGAAAAAAGGAAAGAACAGAGAAATCAAATACCAAGTGGTGGGATTCCAGCATGCAAAGGTTATTTATTTCCCAGTTTGAGAGGCGATCCGATTGCTTCGCTGTTCGCTCTCTCTTTCACGGTAAAGCAAATACAGCAACAAACAACAGCCACTCTCATCGATGTATCAATTTTTTTTCTCTCTTTCTTTTTTTCCACCATTCTTTTATTTTTCAGTGTGAATGAATACCCTTACATTGCACATTAATGAATCACTGTAAACGTCTTTTCAGAAACCCATTTTCTTTTTTTGCTTTGGGTGTTCTTTTATACGCTTCAATGTTATGACCACTCATGTTTGTTTGTCAATTTTATGCAGAGGAATTTTTTATTTTGAAATTATGGATTGTGGGCTTTAAATCAGCTGTTATATTTTGGAGGATTTCAGTAGTCTTCACTTCAGGTTGGTTGATTGATGTGAAATCGAATGCACATGCATGTTTATGTTTATATTATATTTTGTCATTGAAATTGGATTCTTTCTTAATAATTGATTTTTTTTCCTGTCAATAATCATGTTAGCTTCTAATATGCTACAAATTGTTTTTTCTTCTTTATTATTTTCATTTTGAGGATATTGGCTGCCGGGTTTTTTCTTTTATTACTGAGGCAAGATTGAATCCTGTTGTTTATGTGGTTCTGTGATAGTGAAGTAGGGAGGTCTAAACTATAATGGTGGAGAAGAAGAAGTATCCGATTGGGCCGGAGCATTATACTCTGTATGAGGAGGTGGGGCAAGGCGTTAGTGCTTCTGTGTACCGTGCTCTCTGTATACCCTTGAACGATGTTGTTGCAATCAAAATTCTTGATTTTGAACGTGAAAATTGTGATCTGGTAATCCTTTAGTTCCAATTCTGCAAATGGTTTTCGTTTTTATTTGTTCGATTTGATTTTTAAGGTTTGCCTTTTTTGGGGGTCAAGTTTGGGTTCATCCTCACCGCCTTTCATATTCTGCCTGTTGACTTTGCTCAATTTCAAGGTGGACCTATATAAATCATTACTGCTGTTTTGTTTTTAACTCTCTAGCTACACCGAGATGAACTACTTTGGTATGCTTTTGCCTTGCTTTTGTAAAAGTGGTGAGACGATACTACATTTGGTCTTAGCTAATAATGACTACTAGCTATTTTGACATTATTCTCTAATGCGTTTTCTCAGAATAACATTTTTCGTGAGGCACAAACAATGGTCTTAGTTGACCATTCAAATGTTCTTAAATCATACTGCTCCTTTGTCAATGATCATAACCTATGGGTTGTCATGCCATACATGGCTGGGGGATCTTGTCTTCATATACTGAAGGCTGCATATCCTGATGGTTTTGAGGAGGTGGTTATAGCAACAATACTTCGTGAAGTGTTGAAAGGTTTGGAGTATCTTCATCAGCATGGGCACATACATCGGGATGTTAAAGTAAGTACTTGGTATTCATCATGACTTAGAGATTCTGTGAATTTTATTTTTTATTTATTAATTCACTTTGTCGCATAACTTGATCTCAACGTATGTACTCAGTTTTTTTAAACCAAGCTCTAAATGGCTGGGTTTATTTCAGCCGGAATTTCTCTATAATTGAACAGTTTTAGTTTACAAGTTAAGAGTTGCATTCATTCTGAAAATAAGGTAAGCGGAAATAATTATTTTCTGCTAAGAATGAGGCAACTATGATTTCTGCTGTATTTATTTGAATTGGTTATTAGAACTGCAACGAGAACATTTAATTATTATGAATACTTGGTAGTGAACTCCATTAATTTCATAAAATCTTAAATAGTTGTTTTTTATGTATAAATGAAGTACTTTGGTTCATAGTTCATCAATGATCTTTTCCAATAGGCTGGGAATATTCTCATTGACTCACGCGGTGCAATCAAATTGGGAGACTTTGGTGTTTCAGCTTGCATTTTTTGATTCAGGTGATAGGCAACGCATGAGGAATACATTTGTGGGAACACCATGCTGGTATGCTTACATTATTCCGTCTACATTCCATTGAGTTCTGAGTTCTTTGATAAGAGTTTGGAGTGCGAAATAATTTGTCATTAACCTGGCTAGTTATATCCTTGATATTTTTCCCGCTTATAGCATCTTAATTTTGAAGAGATGCACCAATGGACTTTTTTGTACAGTAAGTGTCAATCGTTCGATGCTTCTTATCATCCATAGTCTAATTTCCTCTCCGTTGCTTGCAGGATGGCACCTGAGGTATTGGAGCAACTGCATGGTTATGATTTCAAGTCAGTCTATTGTGTTCTCAAAATAGCATCTTTGGTTCACATTCCTTAGGTGACATCATATTGATGTTTATTTGTCAATGCCCCTGCAGGGCAGATATATGGTCATTCGGTATAACTGCATTAGAGCTTGCTCATGGCCATGCACCATTCTCAAAATATCCTCCAATGAAGGTGATAGGTTTAATTTAATCAAAATCCTTTACTGAACACCAAAATGTACTGATTTAAAGTACCTCTTATTCTTAGGTATTACTTATGACCTTGCAAAATGCACCTCCAGGCCTGGATTATGAAAGAGATAAGAAATTTTCTAAGGTATTTAACAAATCCATCATTCTTAGTAGTTGGATTTAATTAGAAACTGTTATGTGTTCATCTTGTGTTTCTCTTCTCTTTTCAGTCTTTCAAGCAAATGATTGCTAGCTGCTTGGTGAAAGATCCTTTTAAAAGACCTTCAGCCACAAAATTATTAAAACATTCTTTTTTTTAGGCAAGCGAGATCAAATGATTATATAGCAAGGACACTTCTTGATGGATTGCCTACTCTTGGTGATCGTATCCAGATATTGAAGGTCAATGTGCTCCTTTTAGGCATACATCTCTTAGTTAGTTTAGTCGTAAATTATGTTTCAGTTTCCATCTTATACTTACAAATTTTATCAATTTTAAAAATAGAGAAAGGAAGAAGATATGCTTGCTCAAAAGAAAATGCCAGATGGTGAAAAAGAAGAATTATCGCAGGTTAGAATTTTCAAAAATTTAGTGCAAAGAGTGGACTTTATAATGCTCTTGTGCATTCACACACATCTGTGTTTTTGAATGTGGCTATCACCAATTAATAATTATAGATTTCAAACCCTTGGATTCATGATACATGATGTCAGTACCAGAGTGTGGGTTTTGGCCCACAATATGGTGCTAGTGTTATTTGGTTGGCAATGTGGAAGTTTATATTTAATTTGTGAATTATTATTTTGCATATATGTATTATGTATTTACTAGGGTGGTGATGTTCTAGTTTCTTCCTCATCAGTGCAATATCTTGTAGGCTGGGATTTGAAAGATCTGAGTTCATGATTTTTCTGTGCTCTTGTACTCATGACCAGAATGAATATAAACGTGGGATAAGTGAATGGAATTTCAATCTTGAAGATATGAAAGCTCAGGCTTCCCTGGTATTTAGCAATGATAGCTTTCCATTTCCTTTTGGTGAAACATTTTAGGGTTTTTTAAAGTACTTATGGAACTTGTAAATGCTTATCAGATCCAGGGTGACAACCTTATATCTGACGCCAGTCAAGGAGGGAGCTCAAATTCTTTGCTGTCACTCGAAGGACGAGATAAGCAATCAGAATGTCAGACCTCTTCTCAAGCTACAGGCAAGGTATTTCAATTTATAATCTTGTGCCGTCAGTTTAGGGGTTTTGTTTTGGATTTCTTTTGGGTGGTTCATGATGGTCTAGCTTTCACAGGAAAATAGTGATCTGGTCCAGAATCAACCAACTTCTTCAGCAGGAGCTGATCCAGCAGTAACTATTACCAAGTATGTTTTTTAGATATTTGACAGTCTCTCCATATTACATTTTTACCTCTACGCTACGTCATTTTTAATCACTTTTGTCATAGTATAGTTTGTAAAGGACATAGCCGTAGTCATGCTTGTGCTGAACAAATTTTCAATAGTTATCTTTTCCCATAAATGTCACATTAAGACTCATACATTGAGTAAGGCTCTTTTAGTGGAGAAAACATAATTGCATTTGTGTTTGATCATGCAACATTAGGTTTGAAAGATCTGATGATGACTCAAGTGGTGCTAGTGTCTCCCATGAACTGCATGTGACTTCACCTTCTAATGATGATTGTGTTGAAAGTAACCTTGGTGAGAAGCCTGTTCTGGAGCTCAATGGAAAATCTTCTGATAACATGACTAGACATTTGCATCAAAGGACAGCAACAATTCCGGGGAGCACCAGTATACCGGAAAATGTTCTTCTGGTTAAAGGAGAAAGGTTTGTACTTTACAGACATAATTCTATGTTACACAAATATCGGGTCAACTTAATTCACATTTGTCATTTTGTATACTTTCTCTATGAAGTGTTCATTATAAGAATTCCATTCATTACCTGTTGGCCCTTTGAGGCAAAGAATGCATTTTTCTTTTATCTTAGCAGTGGAATTGTTATTATAAACCAGTGTTTATTCTTGGGCAAACAGGTGCATGCTTTCCAATTTGGTAGAAAAAGAGACAAATCTTATGATCTTTATATGCCGGTGTGATTTGAGTTGTGTGAATCAGATGGCTAGAATGTTTGGGGAAGTTGCAATCTTTAGATATTTGTACTGAAGTTGAATTATCATCCCACCACTGTGTTTACGCATATTAACTGTAATATTATTTTAAAATATTTGTACTTTCATCCATGTATGGAGTTTATAATACTATATTTATGTAGCACTCATTTTATGAAGTTTTCAGTGATAAGCAAAATCAGCCCCTGAACATTTTTGGTGTTAACGGAGCAGTGGTTCCTGCAGGAGGAGAGGATACTCTTTCAGAACTTCCTTGCAAGGCTTCTAAATCACCAGGAAAGTGTTAATTGGTCATTCTCACTTTTTTTCCCTGCAAAAGGAGTCTCCAAGTTTAGCTATTTCGTTTATATTTTGTTAATTTGCTCTCCTGCCGTTTCAAGTTGATTTACTTCCCCAATAATAAAGTACCATTGCAGGAGTGACCAGTGATGAAGAGAAAGCAAAGCCACCTGTCGTTCAGCAAAAGGGACGTTTTAAAGTTACATCCGAGAATGTTGGTTTGGAAAAGGTGACCTACGTCTTTCTGGTTTTGTTGTTGCTTCTCGTCATATAATAGGAGATGAATTAACCTTCTCTTTTCAGGTTACTGCATCTCCTTTACTACAAAAGAGTCGCAGCATGCAGGTTGGTACTTTGGAGGTTAGCAAATGTGTGCCAAATTGCCTATTAGACCCAATTGTAGAACCTCATTTTATAATTCTCCATTAAATGCACAATTAGCCATTTGACTTTATTTATAAGAGATTAACTTGAGTCCTTGCAAGCTTTTGTAACACAACACAATAGTTAGTTCAAACAAGTATCACTAAAAGAAGATATATGGTTACCAGTTACCACACAGAAAAGTTCACAGTCCTTACAATATAAGTATTGTTATGGCTGCCTATTTGAGAACTATATTAAGAATTTTTGTTCTCCCAAGTAATATCTAAGCAGAAACTGGTCATCTCGAAAAGAAAAAAAAAACAAGGGTAGGACATTGATCTTGAAAGTGTATATACCTTTTCATCACCCTATTAGATGAAGTATGCGTCACTTGCCTGGAAAAAAACATATCTAAACTAGTTTTTTGTTGCGTATAATTTATATAATGTTATGGGTTATGCAGGTGTTGACTACAAATCCTCCGACTTTACTAGCAGCAACATCTGATCCTGCATCATCAATTCCTGCTGCCAATCATCTTTTCCCATTGTTACAGTCTGTTTTGCAGACAAACATTCTTCAAAGGGTATGGTTTAGCCGTATGTTTCTGGGATTTTTACTTTATCCATTGGCTAATGTTGTTCTACTCGGCATATTTTTGTCAACAGGAGTATATTCTCAACGTAATGAAGCAAGTTTGTGCGGGTGTCCCAATAGGTGCAAAAATTGATGCTCCTTAAAACGTTACTTATTCCTCTCTTTTATAAAT